GCCCTTTATTTCCTGTCTTAACTTCCCTTCCTATTCACCAGGAGCGGAAACTAGCCAAGCTCGCACAGACTATTTTTGTTGCTTCATTTCTTTTTCAGTGTGTGCTGTTCTTTTGTTTTTGAGTTAAAAAAAAAAAATCCTTTGATTGCTGAGCAAATTCAGAAAGGAGAAAGAAAGCAAAAGAAACTTTTTTCTTTTATCAAGAGATGAACAAAAATCAATTTGTGGAAGAGCAACTGATGTCATCAAAAGAACAATTTTTTTTTAATCTAAAGACTTTGGAAGGATGGGATTTCCTTTTTTTCCCCCTCCCCTGCGTGCCCCCCCCCCTAGTTTAATGTGCTCCACCAGCAACAGCCATTCCATTTTCAAGTGTGTGTGGGGAGGATACAAAGGGTGAAAGAGTATTTAGCAAACAAATCTAGCCAATCGTTACTCCCTGAGGAATTAGCAATCAATCTGGAGGCCCATGAACTCTGCATTCCAGGTCCCTTCAGATCTATATACAACAACAACAACAAAGAGTAAAAGAAGAGTGGAATTTGTTGCCTTTCAATCAAATCTGAAGTAAATATACTAAACGTATAAGCTTTTTAAAAAAAAAAATCCAACATCCTGCCAAGAATATGCCTTGATAACACTCTAGTTTTTTATATATCTATATATATTATAACATGCTAAAACTTCCATTCCAAAGTTTAATATTGGTTCCATTGCCACCACTTAGTGGATGTTTGGCTTAGAACAATTTTTGTTGCTTTATTTGGAAGCATTCAACTGAGTTTAGTTTGTAATTGTTGACGAATAACTGCTGATTTTTTAATTTTTTTAGCTGAGTTGATTGCGCAAGTCACTGCACAACTCAATATGAACCTATTTAACTTATTTATTATCTTGTGAAAAGTATGCATTGGTAATTTGTTCATACTGTATTTATCGGGTATGATGAAAAGCAATAGATATATATTCTTTTATTATGTTTAAATTATGATTGCCATTATTAATCGGCAAAATGTGGAGTGTGTTCTTTTCACAGTAATATATGCCTTTTTGTAACTTCACTTGGTTATTTTATTGTAAATGAGTAAAATTCTTAATTTAAGAGATTGTATGTAATATTTATTTCATTAATTTCTTTCCTTGTTTACGTAAATTGAAAAATTGCATTGGCTTTTTTTTTTATAGAAATCTGACTCAATGCTGTGGAAGTAGTTTGAGAAATTTCAATGGTTTTTTTTTAAGAATGTACAATGGTTGTAACCCGTCCAAGCTTAAACTTACTTCACAATCAATCCAAATTTAAAGTGGCAAACCTAATTCAGACTTAAAATTAACCAAAATGTATTCCTGTTGCCTAACTTCACCAATCACACTGTGATAGTTTCAGAGAGTATGTAGCAATAAAAGGGGTGGGGGTGGGGAGGGTCCCAGTATTATGTCTCACAGTGCCTTTTGTAAGGGTCCATGCTTGCCTTAAAATCTTCCTCAACCAAACAAGTATTTTACTTAATGCTTGAGAATTTGAATGTAGGGCTGGGTTTTTAACTACAAGAAATTGTACCACTCGTTTTTATTATGGAGGCCACCTTTTGGATCCGAACTTCTTTTGTGTACAAGATCATATCTTTATTAAAGTTCCAACACATGTAACTTTTTCTTGTGTAGGAAGTCAGGAGTTATCCAAATCTTTCCTCTGGGTGATGAATGAATGAGCAGTATCTTTTTTTAATGTACATAGGTACAGGTTCAGCACTATGTACTCTTTGGACTACTTTAACAGAAGTATGTTTTGAATGTAACTAGAAGATAAGTCAACTTGAGTTGTAATATATTTTGGAGAGTCAGTTCACTACAAATTTGAAGTGTGAGACTGTAAACTTTGTACTGTAAATGTTTTGTAGTTCTCCCAATAAAACTTTTGAGGAAAAAAATTCCCAAGCTATTAAAGCCATGTCTACAAGGTGGTGCTTCTTTATTAGCTTTCCCCTATCAACATGGTATCTAGCTACAGATTAACCTAATTTTGCGCTGCAAAATTGCTCCATTTCTGCAGACATGACTGGAAGCCTGCCAAAGGCAATAAACTCTTCCAGAAGGTTCCAAAGTACTGCTGCAAAAAGACACACAATCCTATATACAGAGGGAGGGAGGGAGGGAAGAAGATAGCATTTCTTTGTATATACTCATTCCCCCAGAGATTTCTTGTTTACAGATTAGAAGGAAATAGTAAAGAAGTGTAATACAAGAACAGAAATGGCTCATCCTAGCTCTTGGGTTTTTTTCTAATGGACTGCAACCTTGGTTGCATCAGAGGATTGTTCTCGCTATATATCTACATCAATGTTTTTCAAAGTTGGCAACTTCTAAGGTGTGTGGGCTTCAATTCCCAGAATTCCCCAGCTAGCATAGGAGTTGAAGTCCATATATCCTAAAGTTGCCAAGTTTGTAAAACATTGATCTCTATCATCTGAGACATAATGCCAGGGACATGCTCACCATTGCCCACCCCCAGGAAGAGCCCCATACATACTATTTGTGGCCTGTCTCTGGCTGCCTTTTCCATGATCTTACTATTCCCATTTTTCTCACTGGTACAGCATAGTCTCGGGTATAGAATCATGCTTTAAAGCAGGGTCCCCCAAAGTGGTCAATATTACCCCTCACGGTTGATGGAACTATCCATTATTATTCATAGCACTATTAAAGTAGTTTTAAGTTATTTTCATTCAGTGTTTGGTGGATGATGAACAATCTGAAACTTCGTGAAGGGGTCGATGAGCTGAAGAGTTTAGGGACCCCTGCTTTAAAGGTTTGTATCTTAAAACTAAGTCCTGCATATGAAAGGGAATACGGTAACTTGATGTGTAGAAAGTATGTATCTTTTAAAGCCTCCATATTTAAGTAGTGCCAAAGAGAATTAACTTGTTCTGGGACCTTGACCCAAGTAATATTTGTTATGCAAGCTTTAATTTGTGAGCTGCTTTGAACTGGTAGCATCTTCTCATGTGGCTGTGTGGAGGTCTATAAACATGCATCAGTCCTTGTCTAGATAAATATTTATTTCCTCCCGATCATAGATGTTTTAGTTTTGATTATTATTAAAAGTTATGGTTAATACAACTTCCCTGGGCTGTAAGGTTGACTTCTACAAATACTTGCTAGAATGCAACACTGCTACCACGTGCTCTGTATGTCAGCAAAGCTTGCACTGACTTAGTATTGAAACATTCATAGGTTATCTGCACAAAGTCCACAGAGTCAGTTCCCATTATTTCACTCACATCTCAGTGGTGGTTTTTTTTTTGTTTTTTTGTTTTGGCTGCAGTTTCTACAGATAAGTGGTGACTGATCGATCAATGGTTTTTATGGGAACTTTGTTAGGAAAGCAAAACCTGCTGAGAAAGCGGGGGAAAAAAACTTTAACCTGATGTGTTGGTAGTATTTGTCAGTCTAGAAATGGCTGCCCTTGCTTGTACCTTTGAACGTTCTCCAACATACATATTTGTAAAACTCATGTAGTTATCTCTTAAAGCAGTGTTGTCCAAACTTGGCCACTTTAAGATGAGTGGACTTCAACTCCCAGAATTCCCCAGCCAGCCATGCTGGCTGGGGAATTCTGGGAATTGAAGTCCACTCATCTTAAAGTGGCCAAGTTTGGACAACACTGTCTTAAAGGCCAGTGTGGCCTGTGCCTACCAAGCTGGAACACAATTAGCCATTCAGCATGGCAGGTTTGCTACTGCGATGTGACCACACTTTGATTCTGGTTTTCACACCTATCTGAAATTTGCAAAGTCATGCCTCTATTGCTTATGTGCCCAGTACATTAAGCTTCTTCAGTTAATACATAGCTTATGTTCTTCTCATATTAAACTTTGAATTTATATTTACGAAAGGGTTCCCTAACCTGGAGTCCTCTAGATGTGCTGGCCCTGGCTCCCATAATCCCCAGTCACTTGACTTTGTTCATGAGATTATAGGAATTAAAGAGAGGGAACCAAATTGGGGAAGGCTACTTTACAGCAACCATACAAAATTATTGTTGTAACATAAACAGAGGATGAAAAATCAGTCTGGTCTAGTGGTTAAGGCACCAGGCCAGAAAGCATGAGATTGTGAGTTCGAGTCCTGCCTTAGGCATGAAAGCTGGCTGGGTGACTTTGGCCAGTCACTCTCTCTCAACCCAATTTACCTTACAGGGTTGTTGCTGTGGGGAAAATAGGAGGAGGAAGGAGTATTAGGTATGTTCACCACCTTGAGTTATTTATAAAAATGATAGAAGTGGGATCAAAAAATCTAAAAAGAAAAAGTACCAAGACTTAACACTTACTGGAAGTCTTGCAAGATTGAAGGTCCTGATTTGATACCAGGCTGGCATCTTAAGCATGATATTACATTTTAAAAAAATATTTAAACATTTTTAACTTTTCTTCCCCACCCCCCCAAAAAAGGAGGAAGTAAGAAATGATGCTGAAGTATATTATCTCTTATCTTTCACTCTTTTCTTGTCCTTTACTCATGAACTGGCTTTGGGTGTGAATTATAGCAGTACAGTTCAGCATTTCCTGATTGTCTGAAAAGCAACTGTTTCATATTACATTCTAACACTCAGTTATTTTCATTCTGTGCTAAAACAAACCTAACTGGTCAGCAGCTTAAGGTATCTTTTGAACTAATTCTATTTTTAATCATTTATTGTGTAAATAATCTTCCTTCCTTCCTTCCTTCCTTCCTTCCTTCCTTCCTTCCTTCCTTCCTTCCCCCCCCCCACACACACACTAAATCTCAGAATGTGTGTGTGTATCTATATATCTATATCTATATCTGTCTGTCTGTCTGTCTGTCTGTCTGTCTGTCTGTCTG